GGGGGGAACAGAAGAGTGTATCAAAGGCGAAGGTAGATAAGGTGGAAAAAAGGTGGGGTGAGTACTGTGCAAGTAGTCGAATATGACATGCAGTGGGGTCATGGTAGTTTGAAGTCAACTGCCAGGTAATAGACTTTTTTGCCGTATGAGTATACGTTGCCCATGGTGCACCATGTGGAGGTAAGTCTATCGCACACCCCTTATTCGGGACGTATATTGTGGATCAAGTGTGTACACGCGTGGAGCTACTCATGATCAGGATGGGGGATTAGGTTAAACAGAGGTTAATGATTGGTCACGGATGGGGGATTAGGTTAAACAGAGGTTAATGATTGGTCACTGTTTGTACGATCGCGTTAAACAGAGGTTAATGATTGGCCACTGTTTGTACGGTCATGCACACAGAGTTAGGCCACCTCCCAATCCTGGCGAGCAGACATGCAGGCATATGATGACGCACAGAGCGATAACGTGTCCCACAAAGTAGATTTTTAAAAGTACACATCGATCACATTCTACGTCTGAGCAGCCTCTTCTTTGTAAACTTTTGGGTAACATTTCATTATCAATTAAGCTATGGTAATTTCTTAAGGCTAAAACAAAATTGAGCGCATGAATTATTGAATAGAAAAGGATTTCATTAAATATTGAGTTATTTGATAAAGTTGAAATTTTACGATACCTTGATTGAATAAAATTTCAGTTTGATCAGCAAAACGTGAATTTTCAAGATAAAAATATGTTTTAAGAGGTATTTCAATGTCTTTGATTTTGAAGGACCTTAATATAGCTACCGCCAAGTTAGATCTCGAAGAGTACCTATCTGTTATTATTGAATATCTACTACGTATGATTATGTTACATGCTTATTTTGTGCTTTCCCATCCTAAAGCAAATGCGTGCGCAACCGTCTACTTCATCTACTATTAATATTCCCTTATACGAGGAATTAAGCGTCTGTTTCGCATTTGCATACAATCTGTAAAACGCCTGTAATAAAGGCTTGTATGAGATGAAATTTGTGATTAATGTATCATTAACAAAAGAGGCCTTTCGGAATTAAGATTTATACTGTGGAAATCTCATAAAACTGATGTAAATAAGAATCGCTTTTCCTTCTTACATGAAGATAGTTATCAAAAGCGCTCAAGGCTCTACATTAACTTGGTCAAAGCATACTTTCCTACGTGAGCTCAAACATCCTGAAGTGGATACTACGAAATAGGCCCTGAATAGACCTCCACAAGCCCCTCTGACAAAATATAAAGGTGGCATATTGTAATTGAAATTTGCTATGCAGCGTTCAAAGTGTCAAGAACATACTTCGTATAAAGTGAAGAGCCTTTATTGCAACTCATAGCTAAATTTCACAATAATTTGTGCTCAAAATAAAATTATCGATGTCCTATGTTGAGGCGACTAGCGATTGCTGAGTGGTTAAGAGATCCCTGCTCTTACGACAGCATTTACTCTCCACAAAATTAGCCCCTCGACTCCACCTTCCAGGCTATTTGGGTGTTCTTGCGATTCATTTGAGCAACCTTGCTTGTCTTATGCTCTATGCAGCTCTTCGAGGGATTTCAAGCATAAATTATTTTCCTACACCTATTTCTTTATTCCCAAACAAGTATGAAGTTGCTACTGTTTATCTGCTTTTCTGCTTTATTTTAATTGATATAATTTAAATACCTTACTCCCTCCCCCCCCCCTCCCTTTTCAAGGGGTTGGCTTAAAGGGACCTAATTTTCCTTTCAAGTCGTGCAAATGTATCATAAATGGGTTGATTAACAAAATGGGGTTGCTTTTGTATAGTAGATGTTTGCTCCATTTGTAATTATCGTGAAATATTGTTCTTTGAAGTGTGACTGAGAAATCGCCGTCAACCCTGCACTCTCCTGCCAATGCAAGTGCCCTTAGTTAGCTAATGCACTAAATGTGCAGAAGACAATCAACTTCTCGGTAGTGTGTTGTAAGACGTAATTTGGTCAGGTCTTGTTGAGATGCGTTTAGCAGATCAACTATGAATTGGCCTTCTAGTAGTTGGGAGGGGGGCATGTTGGGGTGTACTCGCAAACATACGTCATTTTAATTTCCCTCAGCACCAACAGAACATTGAATTACGAATTAATTATTTAAATAGGCAGCGTTTGTAAGGTACGCGGGTGGATTTATAAGTGGAATTCATTGATAGTTAAGTTGATTGAACACTGTTAAGAACGCGGCCATTTTGACATATTGTAGTGAGTATGTGGTGACTTTATAAAATTTATAATTTTTACAAAACTCTTTTTCTTCATTTTAACCACAGAATGCGTACGATTCATGGGATTAACAAGGTTAACTTGCCTGCATAATCGTTTCTATCTTACCAGTAATTCTGATTTATATTTGCATTTAAATAACTTTTTCTCTGCAAATAATATTTATAAATATCCTTTCATTAGGTAAGAATGTATGTAGAAAAAAACGAGTAAATAATAGAAGAAGGAAATTGTGGTGTTGTAAATTATCGTAAAATTATAATTTGTCCACGTGGTGCACCCCGGGCAACGTATACTCATGCGGCAAAAAAGTCTATTGATCGGGAATTGACTTCTCACTTCAAACTACCAGAACACCCCACTGTGTGCCATATTTCACCACTTCCACAGTAGTCACCTCACCTTACCCTTTCTCTGCCTTTGTGCCTCTGTCTCTTTTACATCTTTGAATCACTCTTCTGTTCCCCCCTCCCCACCATCTCGACTTTTTTTCTCTTTGATGTTCCTTCCCCTCTGTGAAGCCTGAAGTCAACTAAAGCCCTAATGATAGCTATCATAATGCCTGCCATTTGATATAAATAAATAAATAATTTGTCACGGAATGATCAAATGTGTTAATAACAGGATTCTTCGCCCCAAATAATTCGACTATTCTCAATGACTTTTCCCAAAAAAACAGTTATGCTTATTTTAAAATGTGATTTTTAGTGAAAATCAAAGGAATTTAAAAGAGCTATAGACTAATCAGACTCTCTGAGCCTTGCGTTTATATCTGTAAATTTAAAGCAGTATTTTACCAAAGAATTTTTCTATAACTGAAAGAAAATGAAATGTGTCATCCAATTCAACGACTTGCGAGAAGTAATGTGTTATTATTATGATGAGTGTTTGAGAAGTGGACGCAGGGGTATAACTTCCATCGGTTCACACCCAGTGATTGGAATGGCAAACCGCGCTGATTGAGTCAAGCTAATAAGGGGGCTGATAGGATTCGAGCTTCTAAGCATTTATTTATTTCAAATGGCAGGCGTTATGATGGGTATCATTAGCCATTTAGTTGACTTCGGGCTTCACAGAAAGGAAGTGGAACATCAAAGTGGCAAAAAGTCGAGAGGCGGGCCAGAATAATTATTCACAGACGTAAAAGAGACAGAAAGACACAAAGGTAGAAAAAGGGTGAGGTGAGTTCTGTGGAATTAGTCGAATATGAAATGCAGTGGGGTCTTGGTAATTTGAAGTCAGAAGTCAACTACCGATTAATAGACTTTTTACCGTATGAGTATACGTTGCCCAAGGTGCACCGCGTGGAGGTAAGTCTATCGCACACCCCAGTTTCTAAACATTGAGGCTCTGAGATGCAAACCCTAACCCAAAATGAGCTTCTTTTATCGTATTTTATGATGGCTTGAAGATTCTTATTATTATACTTCATTATGTACGAATAATATTTAAAACTAATGAAGACAACATTCAAATGGAAACATCAAGTTACATTATCTTGAGTCGGAGTGCGATCAGAGTGACTCGAAGGCGTTCGTGGTAAAAATACGAGGGATGGCTTGCAATACGCAAGCTCAACTCCATCATCACTTCAATTGCATTAAAAAGGGATAAAATTGGATCTAAAGTTACTTCAATGAAGTCTGCTCTTTACTTCCACTGCACCAGTCATTATTGCTTAAACCGATCACACTATGACTCCTTAATTCCCATCTCAAAGCCACCGAACCGCAAGGACTAAGGCGTCAAAATTTATGAAGCGTCTTATTGCGCTAATGGAAAATGAGCTTGTTTGTTTAAAATGTCGTTACGCCATAGTTTAAACGGGCCTTTAACTTGAAGGGAATTTAATTGAATTCAGTTCAGGATAATCACGTCACTAATATATTTCTAATAAAATATGTTTAATGTTAAGTACGTGGTAAAAGCAATTAAGAGATATTTAAGAGTGGTTTTTTTCAATTTGATTAATAATGACCACAATATATAATAGGTTGTTCTACGGGAAGACGATCTATCAAATTGTGAAACTTATTTCGGTTATTAATTGGATTTAAAGTATTTACGTATGTAACGCATTTAATGTTGCAGCACTATCGAGAAAGAAAAACTCTCGATCATAGCGGTCCTATCGCTGAAACCCTGTATAAACGTGATTTGTAATTGACTGATGGTTACTAGAATCTAGCCAATAAGAAACCTCTAAACGGCGACGCCCAGTTTGTGCGTCATACTCACTTTAACCAATCCCATCAAGCGCGGATTCAATTGGTACGTCAAATTCTGAGCCCGTCTTTTCATTGCTTTCCGTCCTCTGTCTTGTCTTGAGCAGAAATGGAAGCTAGAAAGTTAATGCCAATAATATTTTACTGCTATTTTGTTTAAGAAACTTTCAGGCCGGAGGAGAAATCTACCATTTCTGCAAAGATTGTGTAATGTTACTCAGCCTCGAAGCCCGTCTCTTATCAACCGCCATTGTCATCTTTAATTGGGCGACAAGTACCTTCAATTGTGGCATTTTCAATTATATTTTCACTGTAACCGCTAATAATACAATCAAAGTAACACAATCCAGCATATCCAATGCAATCCTTGAAGCTGTCAATCAGAATCTCTTTCAAGGCGGAAGTAGAAGACTAGAAGTTTACAATTGGCTTCCTGTCGAACTCCAAACCGGAAGCGGGGTCTCTCGTAATGTTGCTATTCTCACTGGAGTCACCATCATCGTTTCTTTACTGTTTCTTATTCTTCCCTTGTCTGTTATCACTGTCACTTGCTGTTGCCATTGCAGATTTAGGGCTAAGGAAAACGCGAATATTAATGTGAGTTTGTTAAATTTATTACATCTTTCTTAGTACTACACAAGTGAGCATATTTTGTTCTGTTCTGCTTAATGTCAAACCGGTCATGCAGATGTTCATTAAACGTTATTTCAAATATATTTCTCATTTAAATTCGTGGAAGTTTAAACAGCTGCGATCAAATCTTTGTAGTAATTTTGATTGTTGAACAGTTGTGCTAAACAGTGAGTTACTAAAGGCACACGATTTAAGCATTTGTCATTTTGAGGTGACGATGCGCAATAAAATAATGGGAGAAGTGTAGAAATGCTTTTATGCTGTTCCACTTACAATTCGCATTAACATCAAATTTCATGTTTAAGAGCTCAACTTGAATTTTAGTATCGACTTAACCATTTAAAGCGACTTTAAACATTGTTCTTTCAACAACTTCAGCATTCAAAATAACAACGGTGGTCGAAATCAAACATTGCTTGTTTGCTCTTTACGAACATTTGATAGAAGAGCTTTTAGGTAAAAAGGTATCTGAAGTGATATTAATTCCAAATAAACCCGCTTTTATAATTGTCCTGTAACGTTATGATGATAACAGGGAAAAGAATGGATAATTGAAAGGGGAGACAACACTGAGGATGCGAAAGAAGGTTAAAAGGCAAGCTAACTGGCTAAGCATCACATGAGCACTTTGGTCAAATGAAGTTGAAAGTCTTGTTAATGAGACAATTTGATTAAGCTAAAGAAAAAGTATCGTGTTCTACCGTCCGACCCAAACGGGGATTTGTTACGCTAAATTTGTAAACTGTGCAATATCATACAATATCATTTTTCTTCTCAACAATTGAAAAAATTATCAATTGATGCATCATTAAGCACCGATTGCCGAAGAAATGCACCACACTATTAAAAACATGAATTCGGATCACAAACGAATCAGTTATCGCTCAATATTGCACAGCCCCAACCCCGTTCTCCTCCATCATTTATTGGCTTTACTGTTACTCGATATCACTGACTTGCCTTAATCAAAATTGTAATTTATATTACTATTTGTAATTACAATAATAACAGAACGAGAGTAGCGCTTACCACCATGTGAGAACAGCAGATTATGAAGCACCGGTGAACATTCCCATTCATCTTTATGTTAATGATAAATAAAAATTAACACGATCGTCATAATTTGGTTCTGATAAACTAGATGAAAGTACGAAAAATTTCAATGTGTTATATTTTACATCATAATAATTTAATATTTTTAGGACGTTTATGGGAATAAATTTGTCAGTTCTTTGAAAATACTGTTAGTAAAGTTACTATGACAGCGATTTCCTTTACATTCTCACGTTTTTCTAAAACACAAAGGAGTTGTCCCAACGCTATACTGTTACCAAGGCAACAAGAGCATGTAACTCAACAAATACATTTGAAAAGTATGAAAAATAGCAAAAATTGGGGCTTTGTAGCATTATATGGCCAAATGTCCAAGGTTGAATAGGCTGTTGTTGGTGTTTATTTATTTGCATGAAACTACTAAAATTTACGATTATTTGATTACTCTAAGCCTTCCTTTAAGTCGTAACCAGCCACTGTGATTTCCCTTACATTAAACTTGATAAATGGACTTTCTACCGTGTACCCAGTCATTATAAGCTAGTATGATTTTCCATTTTGGTTGGAAAGAAAATGATTTATTTGTAATAAGTGTCAACACATCGACTATTGGCGCTATTTACATATCATGGAATGTTTAATGTAGTGTTTTACGTGACGGCACATAATTACACATCCGATGTTGTTCAACTTCCTTTACGCAATGAATCAATAATAGGGACCTTAAGGTCCTGAAAGACTCTTGACGTCTTTCAAATTTCAAGTTAATTCTCCATTGAACCAAAATACTTCCATTTTCATAGACTGTTCACCTAAAAAGAGCACCATCAGAAAAATGTGTTATTTTTAATAGATTAATTATTTTGACTTTTCCTCTTGATCCCAAGTAAATGGCTTGGACGCAATTAAAATTGTTTCGTTTCTTATCACTTTTGTATCTTATATACATACGACTTCATTAAGATTACTTTGGAAAAATAGACTGCTGGATGCTTGAGTCTAAACAAATGCAAAAATCAACTAATGCGCATTGATTTAAAGAAATGGATGTATAATAATTGATATTGACCAATCGGAATTTTAATGTCTATCTCCTAGACACTCAAATTGCTTGATTTATTCAATTCTATCTTAAGTTTTAAATCCACAAATCTTTGACTAAACTTATATGATCATATTTGATAAGGTTTCAAATCAACAAATCAGTAACATTTTGAAAATGTTGGTTCTCTATCAATTATTAAAGGGTTTAATGGATAGGATTTGGAATATGATCCTATATTATAGTTTGTTTTGTGCATACATTTTGAGTTATATATTTTACGTTAATGGTACTTTAGAAAGGTTTGCAATCTATTTAACTATTTTTTGCTCTTTAAGTAACCATCAAAGATTTTATGCAAACAGTTCTGATAAATTTTCTAGCGATCTCATGGAAAGGACACTTACCAAGGCGCTTATTTTTTGGAGAAAATTCACGCGCAAGCTCTGGAGGCGATTAAAAATTCCGATAAAAGTACTGACTGTTTCAATCTTTGTCATATCATCGTGTTCGTTGTCACTTTCCTTCTCCTTGTGGCACTAACTGCTTCAGTTGGAGTTCTTTTCATTGCTGGATTTATGGTGACTGACATGCTAACAGAGGACACTGCCCAAACACCACCCACTTCCTTCTCATCTGACAATTTCACCATTCTCACAGGAGTGAAGTTCATTTTCTCTCAGTTTCTCGACTTTTTGAACACTGGTATCAGTGATGGTATAATTTCCACAGAAATTCTTCTCAAAGATATCAACTCAACTTTTATGGTGAGCTTTGCTATTTTATGTGCAAATTACCCTGTACATTAACGAATATTGAATATAAAATAAGAAAAAAGGTTAAAGCGTGCATAAGAAGGTTCAGAGTTCTTTCCATTTTTCATGGAATGATACATAAAGAGGACAAAATCCCACTTGGTGTAACGTATTACCAACATGCAATTGGTAAATATTCATATCATTCTCTCCTCTTACTACTTTATCTCTGTACTATTGTTATATCACAACTCTTGATCCTCTGATTATGTGAAAGGCATTCATTCAGAAGCTTAGCTAAGGAATGTAGAGAATGAAAATAGACTCTTTAATTTTAATTTATGCGCTGTTGACGATCGTTCAATGTGGTTGGTCATCAAAGCCGAGATCTTAAAATCACTGAGTATAGGTAAATTTATAATTCATACATGTGGGTGACCAGATGCACCAAAGATTTATGATCTTCAAGATAGATATCTCTACATAAACTTTTTTTCAAAATAGTGAAGTACCAGGATGATTTGTGTGGTTCTTGTTAAAGCTCAATGATAAAATATTCGATAAATAACGGCGACCAGAACAACAATATCAGTCAAACAGTATAAAGGTAACGACAAATAATGAAACCAACCGCAGACACACTCGAAAAGTAGCATTAAATTTGCAGTTGAAAACTTTTACTGACTAATTACATTTTTCATATTTACAAATTTAATTTTTGCCAATAACTTGGTGCTCGCAAGATATTTTTAAATTTGGTAAAATTCAAAATGCTATAGTTGGTCCAATATTTTGGGTCACATAAAATCTCGATCGGTAACGGATCTTAGGTAGAAACTAGCAATTGGCATATTTTTAAATTTTAATTTCCTTTTCATTAGAAAATCTCGAAAATGAAAATGCATCAAGGGTTGGGAAAAGAAATTTGCCTTTATATTTTATATGATAATCCAAAAATCAGTAAAACATTCTATATCAAATTAGTATTAACAAGCATTATGTATAATATTTACATTCGCCTTGAAATTTGTTTTAACTTATTGAACTAGCATCGAAATTTCGAAATGATTAAGATAGCTAAAGGTGGGCGAAGAGACATATACGAATAATTTAGGCAAACTACGGCGGAAATTATGTATTTCTCAAAATATTCTTAATGTACAATATATCTAGCTCCATAGCTGAGAATGACGTCCTTATGTGTTGCATTTCAAATACTTTATTTTATCAATTTTTCTTCCTAGACAAAGGTATTCCTTTTAAGTTCAAAATAAAATTATCCAAAAGTGATTAAGTGGCTGCTGAATAGATCTGTTGCTGCTTACGTTAGCGTGAATCAGCTAAATTCATTAGATATCACAATTAGCTATTTCGATCTTACGGCTCTAAGTTTGGGGTAATGTGGTCTTGTTCACTCCTCGCTGAAGTACGTCAAATTCATTCATTTTTTTCATAAGAATGTACTGGAACCGAAGGTATCAAGTGCCGTTGATGAGCTACTGGTCACATACGGTGTTAAACCCCTAATGCATGCAGGTGAAACATTGCAAGGTGACTTGAAAGTCCTTGAAACCAATATGGATTATATCAGGCTGCACAATCAACAAGTCAGTCAAGATATCTCCCAATTGGTTGGAAAATTCAGCACAATTTACAATCTAGTTGGGCCCGAACTTGACAAAGTTTGTAATCGTTCAATGGGACCTGAAATAGAAATCTTGTGTGACAGTCTCAAGGTAATACAACTTTTAAATATTCAATTTGATTTATTTATTGCTATTTCTCACACAATCCAAACTTCGGTAAATGCATTGACTAATGATGCATATTTATGCTTTTGAAATCTTGCATAATTTTGCATTTGATGGTTAAATGGTAAATGATGTTTACCTAATGATTTATCTCATATCACTGGAATACGAGCTGTAAAGCAAATTCAGCTACTTTACCAATGGGTGGGATAAGATCTCTGCGCATTGGTGCTCAGTGGCTCAGTTAGACAACTACAGCCCAAGTAGTAGTTTTCTATTAAAATGGCTCCAAAGTGCCTTCTCTCCAGTCAGGCTAAGTGCTACTGATATTTCTTTGAAAGGGGCTCGAGATTTTTAATACAATATTTTCCATTTTTCGGTGGAAAAATTTCTCGTACTCTATCACGGTCCTTTCAAGTCATCTTTTCCTTGGGTCTTTGGGATCAGTTCTAATTAGGCTTTGATATATACTTGAATCAGCTATATGAAGATTATATACAATAGTGGACCAACAGACTGGGATAATTTGCTGTTTGATTTATTTTCAGAGACGTGCGCCCATATTAATTTTGCAATTCAACGCATCAGCAATCAAGGTCGATCCACCAGCTGTTTTAAATTTCATTTTTAATGAGCTTGGGGTTGACTTAACTGAAATTCTCAAACAATTCAGTGAGTTCACAGTAAAAATCGAAGAAGTTGAAAATGATGTTCTCGCCAAGTTGTCGTCTTTTCTTGATCTAAACTCTATGCTTGCTCCACTAATGCGAGTTTGGGACACTTTGGGAAATGCAACTGTTTCAATCAGTGGAAATTTAACCAAAATCACTGAATCTATTTCCGCTAACACAAGTAGTTCACGTGCATTGGTGTCAGTTTTGATCTATGCACCTTTAACCCTTATTCTGGCTCACCTTGTTGCAAATTCAGTCGTCGCCACTCTCTATGCACTCGAAGCTAAGAAAACCGAAGTATTCTACCGAAGTAAGTTCTTTTTTAATACACTTCTAGATGTGATATGCCAGAATGGAAGTTACACTTACTTTCTCTTGTGTTGTTGCAGGTAGTACTGACTCCTATGATTCATCTCGTGTCTGCAGCAATAGCGGCAACTTAGTCCATGCTACGATCATACTTGTTTTCTTTACCATTCTATGCATTTTAATAATACTTCTACTTCCTGCTGTTACAATGTTTGCAAGTGACGGCTGTGTCTACCTAGTTGAGCAAAAAGGGGTAGCTCAAACCGATTGCATTCTCAATTCATATATTGAAAATGAAATCTGGCCCACTATTGTTGCAGAGATCGAAGGAGCGCTTGAGCCATCAGTTAGAGATTTTCTTGTCCTTTCTTCTCCTCGAAATATTGTCAACGCTTCTACAGTGATATGTGGAGAATCCATTCATACGACCAATTTCAATGGACTTCTAAGAGCTGTTGGATGGAATACGTTCATCAGCATTCCAAAAGTCTTCGCAAGTGCTGATGTTCAAAAGAAAATTCAGGAAGGGGAACTGTAAGCCAAGGGCCTTCTTGATTTTTTAAAGACAAAACATGGATTAGATTAATTCTTTACCATTCTAGGACTCTTAAACAGGAAATTCTGAATCAAAACCTGGGAAGCTTAATCCCATCCGATTTGGATGAGATAATAAAAACAACCCAGAATCTGACTCACTATTTTGATGCTATGAATTACCAGGTAATCCACTTCTTGCATTACTCGAATTTATCTTCCCTTTCATCTTGCGCTATTTCCATATCTAGCCCTCCATTGACGAGCTCTCTCCAAGCAAACTTCCAAGTAAAGAGTTGGCCAATTACGCAAGCGATTTGGAAACACTCATTTCTAAGATACAAAATTTGGGACTGCAGGCAAGCGATATTTTGCAGCGTTGTGTTATTTTGATACGCGATGATATGGTAGCTCTGGAGCAAGTCGGTAGGAACGCTTCCAAGTTACGAGAGGCTTTTATGGAGGTTCAGGCCCGTAGAAATTTAACGACGGGGATTAATAGTCTCGTAGCCGGTATTGAAGAAGTTAGAAAGGTGAGTAATCTGTTCAAGCACACTTACTTAATAGTAAGATTTTAAAGTCTCAAGTTTTTTGTACTTTGCGCATTTTTACTTCTTATAGACATTCAGCAATGATTCCACCATACTCGCACCGATAACACCAATATACTGGAATCTGGTAGATTCATTTAAGGTGGATCTTGAATCTGGGTTGGATCCTGTAATCCAATCATTCTTGCATAGTATTCTACCTTGTTCAAAGGTCTACGCAGCTGCTGACGCGTTACTTCAATTGGTTTGTAAGCAAAATGGAGTCGTAAGTCTTCATAAATAAAATTTCCCTCCCTTAAATAATTGTAAAATAATATTTTGCGAAAGTTATTTTTACTGAGGTTCAGTCGCCCGTTAGAAAAAAGAGAGCGTTGGGATTAAAATAAATAAAATTTTTAGACGACGTGTCAAATCTTTTGATTTGTTAAAAATTTGTTCACTTGAGATTGACTTATTTTTTGAGATGAGAGAGAGAGGGCGCGTGCGCGAGTTAGAAGTGGTCTAATAACTTGAAGACTACGGTGTCTATATGAGCTGTCAACCTCCTAACTTCTTTCACACAGCAAGTTGGAAAATATGCAAGTCAGAGGGAGGAAAAGGCGCTTTTTGAGAAAGAAACGGAAACCACACGAGGTTGATTGATTGATATGGATATCCGGGCTTGGAATGTGGGTTGCGTGATTTTATGGTCCAGTAGGGAAAGATCAAATGAAGATTCTGTAGGGAATAGATGGTACGAAAGGGATTGGTCATTGCAAATATTCAGGACTCAGCAGGTTGTCCAAATTCCTCTGCTGGTTCCCATCTTCTTATGGCTGAGAGCACATGTCTGGGACTGTGTGAGACATCGACCAGTGAACACAAAAATCGTTGCTTCGATGTAGGGTTGTAGTGATTTTCGTGTTTTTAGTCGTTTTAATCGGAGAACTGGGACTATGAGCCAACTGAGAATCTTTAAACGAATATATTCGCTTACTCATCTCCCTGAATTAATGCCGACGCGGGACTTATTTTCAAATATCATTATTAAATGCATTTGTTATCAAAATTTGTTTAGAACAAAACCGTGATTTATCTGACTTAGTATTGGGGAACATTGGCAAATAGGGCCAATTCGTAGTAAAGCAGAAGGTTCTTCATTTTACAAGCCAAATTAGCTAAGAACTTGTGCCAAAGATTAAAGTTGAGTAGAATATTTTTTTCAGATATTTCATTTATTAAGAAGAGCTTTAAAATTGTGCTGTTACTTTACTCTTGAGACCATCTAGGACTCCCGAAGCCATTCGAGAGCAGCAGAGTCCATTTGCTCTGAGTAGTTGCTCTTGACTTTGTTTGTATCATGAAACCTGGTAGTCAAAACGAAAGTTTTTGGTCTAGATCACAATAAATTGTCCCATAATAATATTTCCTCCTCTTGATAAATTGTGCTGATAGTCTCAGCTTCTTTCTTCTGCTTTATAGAATCCTAAATGGGAAATTTTACGCGTATTTAATGCTGTTATATTTAGGCCTTCCATGGTTTATTATTTTTGTGCTCTTTTAGTTGAGTCGTGCATTTGTATGGCTTTATATCCTCGCGATAACAGCGTCAATCGCAGTGGTACTCTTCTTCAGTACGTTCCTTCTAGGATTCATCCAGACCCACCACTTTCGACGGCTTAAATGCGCCTCGCAAATATTTCTCCCATCCAAGACTAGCTCCTGTGATCGCTATATTCCTTATCCTTCTTCAAGCTGTCGTAACCAAGTTCTCGGTTCTCACTCTCTTAAAAAGCAAGTCCATTCTTCAAATGAATTGAAACGCCAACAGGAGCTGCCAAATTACCGACTGACAGCACCTATTCCAGCTGCCTATGTTGATCGGCGAGATTGCAATCCGCTTAGAGCGTTTCCACCTGCCGATGAAATTATGGCCCAAGATGGCGCATCGGAAATGTCAGCGAACTCTTTCTATGAAGATCCCACTTACCATCCCGTGCCTGCACCACGTAGTGGAAGACAGAATCGGATGGCAGAAACGGAACTTCATTTAGAGGCATTGAATTCCCACCCAGAGGAAAAGCTCCCAACTCAAAAACATAATGAAGACTAAATTTTGTGTTATCTCTCACTTGATTACATGGTTTTCATAATTAAGTGATATAGACCGAAATGCAAACTGATGTTATCGATGAAATGTCCTATTAATACTTTCTACTTACTTCATTTATCTCTGGTTGGGAAATCTCCAATGAATACTTTAAGTAGAGAGAATAATCGAGTGTGCAATAATTCCATAAAGTAGCTCATCCACTAGTTGCTTAACCTGATAGAAGAAGTGATGTTGTGTGGCAGTAGAGATAAGGATATCAGAGAAAAGGCTGAGTAAGGCGCATCAATACGTGGTCATTAAATAGCGTACATGACCTGCCAACTTTACAAATTAGCGAGTGGAAATTCTTAAGCACTGGGCATACATTAAATCAAAAGTCCAAAGTCATGAGCCCTAAGGAGTTATAAAATTGGGGGAGGGATATTTCAACGATCATTCGAGCTCCTATAGGGTTGATAATATGACCTGCCGGATTGATAGTTTCTAAACCGCAGCATGGTCTTACTACATTGTAAGAGTTGGTTCAAAATAACTCTTTGGTTAAGAGCCTCAATTAATGTACTTTAAATGCATCCTTTCGTTAGTCCAAGAAATTTTTGTTGTCTCCTCTAGCCCTAACTTTTAATTACCTTGATGTGATTAGGTCACGACTTAACCTTGTCTACCAAATCTGTTGATATCCAGTTCCTCTAATCTAGTAATGTCATACAAAAGCAGTAGAGGATTCGAGATGTAGATGTTCAAGCACTGGCTATCGTAGGCAGTTGAGAAAAGAGCATGTCCGTGATTATTACACCCTGTGGTTATTGACATTCATCTGAATGCACAACTCTAATCCACCTCCCCGTAAATAAATGGCAACTTGACTGGGTTCTACATCTCCGGCCATATATGTCCGCCACTAGCAATCTTGTTTCACTCGTTTTCACTTGAAATTTTGACGAGTTACTAGCACCAAGGCAATTTGGGCCAAATATGACAAGATGTGACTGCTAATCAAGAAGAACATTGCTTTACTGATCTAACTCTAAGCATGCGAAATCGAGGCATGGTGATCTGAGCACATTTAGCCATTACTTTCTTCATTATTTTTACAAATACCTCCAGACTACTCCTCTGTATATTAGAAGGTATTTATTTATATCAAATGGCAGGCGTTTTGATGGT